CAAGCCTTAAAGTTGCCAGTTGATTTAGACCAGGGGTAGGCAACCTTGGCTCTTTTATGACTCGTGGACTTCAACTCCCAGAATTCCACAAGTCATAAAAGAGCCAAGGTTGCCTACCCCTGATTTAGACAGTAGTTAAGATGGTGCCAGATAGGAAAACCTTATAAACTTAGAATGCAATCCTGTTTTTCCTCCCAACTTGAACATGGATAGCAAAATTGTTTATCATCTTTTAACCATTCAAAGAGTGGAAACATGTTAATTTCACTTTCCCTTCTCAGTCAACCCCTTAGCAATTGTAATATGTCACAGGCCAGATGGGACAATAAAATATTTAGAATAAACAATTTTCAGCGCTGAATTAGAGAGGAAACCAAATCAGGCAGAAGTCTTTCCATCAGTGTTATAGCAAACATCACTGTAGCCCACAGTCACTTTTTGGAGGATCCAGGTCTGTCTCCCTTCACTCCAAACTTTTACAGTTTTCCTAAAAAGAAAAGGATATAAGCCAGTGGTGGGATTCAGCCAGTTCGTACCACTTCGGCAGAACTGATAGCTAATTTTTTGTTGCCCAGGCCCAGAACGGACTTCTGGAAGCAGCATCCCCACAGAGAACCGGTTGTTCACATATTTGAATCCCACCACTGATGTAAGCTACCTGTGTGCATACTCACATTGTTTAGACCAGAGGTCTTCAAACTTGGCAACTTTAAGACTTGTGGACTTCAACTCCCAGAATTCCTCAGCCAGCGTGCCTGGCTGAGGAATTCTGGGAATTGAAGTCCACAAGTCATAAAAAGGCCAAGTTTGAAAACCCCTGCCCTAACTGAATGTTTATAAGTCAAGGACTACTGTAATTATCACTTCCTATTTTGTTAACAACTGTTAGATTAAGAAGGTGAGAAAGAGCATCAATAGGAAATAAACTGGGTAGAATGACTCTGTGGCATGCACACTGCTGAGCACAACTTCCTTTATGTTACACAAAATGTTCTTTCGACAATGATATCAATTTTTCCAATGAATGCTTTTCAAACTGCTGGCCTAGAACCATAAAGACACATGAGCTGTTTTTTTCTATATAAGTGTCTGTTAGAATAGGCTGCTTTCATCTTTTCTGAGCTGGTAGATACTCTGTCCATGCTCTGAAAACACATTGACGTTGCCCTTGTGAACACACCAGTCACAGAATCCCATTTACCAAAGGCAACCCAACGATGCTAAAAAGATTGAAAACTTTGCCCAGAACTTAGAACAAGACACTTCTGCTCTCAGCTGCAACACACATAAGATTATATGCACCCAAGAAATGGACAGATTGACACTAAAGATAAAAGAGAAAGGAGACTCAGCGTATTTTAGAATATGTGATAATTTTTATCAGTGGCTAGATAAACGAGTTAGAGAGAAAGGAATGTGATATGTGACATTGAATATACATTAGTAAGAAGACTATTGAGTGATTAACATATTGTTTATGATAATTAATTATTATTCATTGCTGTTTAAATACATGAACCCAGACAACATGCTGTTTGCTAAATATTAAGAATGTTATTTTAAAAAAAATCCTAACCCTAAACTTAACCTCGACCCTAATCCTAGCAGAAGGCCAGAATACAATGGAAAATTCAAACACCAGATTTTTGCTCCAGGAAGAATAAAATGTCAATTTCAAAAAAAGAGATAATAATACACAGAGAAGCTTGATATGCACCCTGCCTAAGTTTCATCAGTAGCAGAGCACATGATTGACAGGCTTTACAAATGTTTGGAGGATTCCTTGGACATATCTGTAATGTTCCCATCACTTATGTACAGGTAGTTCTTGATTTACAATCATTTGTTTAGTGACTGTTGAAAGTTACAACAGCACTGAAAAAAGTGACTTATGACCACCGTTCCTCACACTTACAACCACTGCAGCATTCCCCATGGTCACATGATCAAAATTCAGATGAATGGCAACTGGCATGTATTTACAACGGTTGCAGCATGCCAGGGTCACGTGATCACCATTGGCAGCCTTCCCAGCTGGTTTCCGATAAGCAAAGTCGGTGTCATGGTTCCGACAGATGAAACCCTTCAAAAGAACTTCGAGGCGTTGTTTACCTTAAAGAATCTTTTATTCGGGAAACAAAGTATCGGCACTACATAGTTGAACCCAAAAGCTAAATTCCCCTCCCCTGGATACAAAGTAACAAAGTACAATTCCCACCCCCAATAAACAGTCATAAATCACATTCCCCAATTAGTTTGAAGGGCGGGCTTTCTCCCCAGCTCTCCAGCCCGCCAAAACGTTATCAGCTCAGGACCCAGTTTGTCCTTGGATTCCCACAGCAGAGTTATTATTATTATGACTAACTGAACTCTTATCCCAATCCCCCCTCCCAGCACCAACTAATTCTAAAAGCATAGAGAAAATGGCTGCATTTTCATCTGTGGTCAAAGTAAGAACATCCGATGTTAGCAGCGTTGACAGTCGGATTTGCTTAACAACTGCAGTGATTTGCTTAAAAACTCTGGCAAAATAGGTCATAAAACTGGACATGATTCGCTTAACAATTGCCTTGCTTAGCAACAGATATTCGGATCCCAGTTGTGGCTGTAAGCCAAGGACTACCGATGATTGGTTGTTTGTTTTTCCTCCTTGATCAAGAAAACAGCTGTCCCTCCAGAGATGCAGGCATGCTTCTCCGATGATGGTAAAGTGAGAATTGCATTGATGCAGTTATGTCTTCATTTGAAGTGACAAAGGCAGAGAGGTCCAGCTACAATAGCAGATGGTTTGAAGGCCATCTTTTCTGAAGCAATTCTTTTATAGCTAATGATATGCACATGAATGCTATAATGGAGTGATGGCAAACCTATGGCACGCGTGCCAGAGGTGGCACTCAGAGCCCTCTCTGTGGGCACACCTGCCGCCGCCACTGCCACCAGCTTGCGCCTGGAGTGGCAGCCCCACCCAGCACAAAGGAAGCGAAGCAGCTGGCTAGCAAGCTCCAGTAGAGGTGGTAGAGCAGGCCTCCATGCGCTCGCTGGCTTCTATGTGCGGGGGCTGATGGTGTCAGGCAGCAGCCACCCCTGCCTCGCCTTGCCCTGCAGCAATGGCAACCCCGCCCTACCCCCCCACAGGACGAGCCTCCTGCCCACCGCCCCACCCACCAGAGACCCCCTGGATCTCCCCCATCCTGCCCAGCCCCTACAGGCATCCCCCCCCACGAGCAACATCAAGGTAGCCACGCCTACCCCAGCCACGCCCACTCAGTCTGCCGTGACCACCGCAGCCACGCCCACCCAGTGGGCCACGCCCCCCTGCCCCCCTTGAGGGCACCACAATGCTGATGCGGCCCTGGCACTTTGTGATACATAAGTGGGTTTTGGGTTGCAGTTTGGGCACTCGGTCTCTAAAAGGTTCGCCATCACTGCTATAATGTATTGGTAAGCTGAATTTCAGCCTCGTATCAATAAGAACAGTAAACTCTGAAACTGTCTTCATCAAGCCTTGTTTCATAATTTGAGGGATAAATGAAAGAGCTGAGATGGAAGAAGAAGCCCATGGCAATATCTGTAGAAGATTAAAGAACATGCACAGTGGTATTACTCTGGAGGTCCATACTTCTTCCATGCTTCCAATTTTCTGCCAATGGTTAAAGGCTAGGATTTTCTTCCAGGTTAGGATGGTGGTTGAGCCCCTTGGGTTTGACTTCTGGTGATCTATATCCTTTTTGTCTGATGCATCTTCTTTTCAATTTTCTAAACTGTAAATCACTCAGAGTAGCTGTGGAGTTAGGCATCCACAAATTGAATCAATAATAAAAAATATTTCTTTATAAAAATGTGGGGTTTGTTTGTTACCAGTTTGGGTCACAGGATCCACATAAAGTGTGTACTGGTTTGAAAGCAGGCCTTTGCATTCCCATGACCAGGAAACCAAAGTTCATTATTGATGGCTCAACATCATGGGTGCAAAAATGATATGGCAGGGAGTGGATTCCGCTGTGTCAGAACCTATAACACTTGCTCTTTCTTCTCAGAATTTTTGTATGGCAGAAGGAAAACCGGTTACAAGTCCTCTTCACACTATTTCCAAGGATTTAGGAGACGAACTCAGAGACAGTATTGATGTATGAGTTACACACACCTTGTGCTCTGATTAACAACCTGTGTAGTCACTTAATGAGTGCATCAGGGACAGCAGGGGTAAAGGATCATTAAGTGAGGTGATCGCAAGGACACAGGGCAGGAGTAGGCAACCGTGGCTCTTTTATGACTTGTGGACTTCAACTCCCAGAATTCCTGAGTCAGCATGGCTGGTTCAGGAATGCTGGGTATTGAAGGCCACAAGTCATAAAAGAGCCAAGGTTGCCTACCCCTGGCATAGGGCATTTGCTTAACAACTCTCATGACTTGTGACCATAATGGACAGGCACAGGCTCCATTTAGATCAGGGTTAGTCAACCTTGGCTCTTTTATGACTCGTGGACTACCTGTATGTCATGCTAGTGTAATTTTATATTAATATGTGTTACTTTATTTTAATGTATTCTGACATGGATAAATTTATGATAAGGAATGATAGCTTTAACTTCTAATAAATACTGTCCATAGAAATTCGGCTGCTGGTAGGGCAGGACTTCCAAAATGTTTTAACTGCTACATTTCTCATATTACGTAAGCCAATGTATACCAAATTCAGTTGTAAATGATTTTTTTTCTCCCCAAAAAATGAAACCAACACTGCAAATCGCCCTTGTTCTTCGGGAGTAACATTGAACCTGGTAAGATTTTACTCTGAGTAGACCTTCTACTCTTTATTTGCAGAGGAAACACTGGTTTCCTGTAGCAACTAGACCAAGAGCGTAGAATTAGGGTCTAGGTTTTGTTAGTGGAGGTGTCTCTTTTCTGAGTTCAGGAAGTTGTGATGCAAGGAAAGGGCTGGGTTTGGGGTTTGGAAACCTTTTGTAAAGGCAGCCCCTGGCCGGCCCCTGTTTCATTTCCACATCAGCAGGGACGGTTGGCAGAGCGTGGAGCTGCCCAAGCCAAACTGGAGATGCTTGTCAAACCTATTGGGAGGATCTTTGTGGCTCTTGGTATAATCCTCTTTCTGGGATGCCCGGGACAAGGTAAAATTTCCGGTGGCTGTTCTTTTTCCTAATCTCCTTGATATGATGTGTTAACAAATACGAGATTTGCACGGCAATTCTGTACATGTTGATTCAGGAATAGGCACCAATGGAGTACAGATGGGCTTACATCCAAAGAAATGAGGAGGAGAATAGCTCCAAAATTTTGGGCTCTGGCGGAAGATGTTCATCTCCCTGGAGATTACGCTTAGAAAGTGACAGCCATATCCCTTCTCCAAGTAGGAATGGGGAGGTTCGTAACTAGAGTGGACTGAAAGGTGGGATAGCCATTCCCACGTTTTTTAAAAAAAAATTTTAAAAAAAGATGCGCATTCTTCAGACATAAAGGCATAATCCCCGAAGCTTAATAAGAGCAACAAAAAATGAATTTGTTAAAGGAACATAAACAGAGTCTTGGAGTGTTTCTTTATGATTCTGTTGGCGTTTAATATTTCTATTTGTTGTTCTGTCTTTAAATGTTTTCAAGAGCTCTTCTGTTTTTGAGCAGGATGAGGAAACTGTCCCACCCTCATTTATGATCAGTGTCTGTAGGGGTGCCGTAGCAGCTCACCATATTCCATGCAGAGTCTATAGCAGCAATGGAGGTGGAGGTGGATTGGGGTTTTGTTCCATTTTATAGTGGGAAGGTGCTTTAATCATAAACGTTGGGAGCAACAGCTGAGTAAAAAGGTACAGTTCCTTATGCAATTAAAATATGATTGTCTTAAAGAGGATTCTATTTTCCTGCAAGTAGTAATACAAACAATATTAAGGTAATAATAATAAAAAGTTTTAAACCCCCCCCCCCAAATTATAATCTCTGGAAGACGGATTACAGAACTAACTACACAAATTTGGAAGGAGTAAAGCATACAGCTTTACCATTACAAAAAAAATTCTGTGCATATTCTGTTACAATTGGCAACTGTACCTTAAAATACGATGCACGTGATAAAATACAGAAGTTAAATTCAAAAAGCAGTGTAATGTGACACTACTTGAGTGCACTTTAAATTTATATATGTATCCAGAACCAAGAATGTACTGGACACGCCAATTATATATATGTTTACTCAGTTGTCTATGGAGATTCTCAATCATCCAGGTCGTGGTTGTCCCAAAGATGCTTTTCTAAAAGGCAACTGGACTTTCTTGGTTTTTTCTTTGCAAATTTTTTGTTTCTCATCCAAGAAGCATCTTCAGTTCTGACTGAATGGTAGGGATGGTTTCCCCCACCATCCAAACAGAACTGAAGAAGCTTCTTGGATGAGAAGTGAAATGTTTTCAAGGAAAAAACACTAAGAAAGTCCAGTTGCCTTTTGGAAAACCTCCTTTGGGATGTGTTTACTCAGAATTTAATATGATTTACGTTGAACTAGCTGCTGCAGTCTAAGGCAACAATCCAATAAAGCTGTAAAGATTGATCTGCTAGTTCCGTTCCAAAGACATTTGTTTTGTGCCAGTTATGTAGAGAAAAATTCAAAATGATAATTGGAAAAAAATATGACATTATCCATTTTTAGTTCTTGGATATCTGGGCTGCAAAACTCCTTATGTCTGCTAGATGGCAGCAGTGTGATACACTTTTCTGGTTCATTATTATCATTCTACACCCTGTGGAATTGGCCTGGGTTGTGGTGCAATAAACCATATTAGATGAAAAATGCAACTCTACATAGCCAGTTTGATATGGCTTCACACTTCCCCTTGTGAGGAAAGACAAACCAACTAGGAACAGACTTGTGTTACAATGGTTATCAAGAATAAAGCTGATTTTTAAGCCAGTGTTTGCTATTGGCTTACAAATGGTGATTTGTTTTGGGACTTAATTATAACTCTGAGTACACTGGGAAGTTACACGTTAGGCTTTTAGCAGGCAATCATGCTCCCTTAATCACAGTTTAGGACCCATTTTTCTCCCTGCTTCTTCTTTCTGCTTGGCACCTTTTAAGAAACAACATTAGCAGCTCCCTTGGCATCCTAGCAAGATATTTGAAAAGGGCATTACTTTTTTTTTCTGTTAGAACATTAGGTTTGTCTTGTGATGCAAAAGGAAATTGATGTAAGTGTGAAGCAATTGAGGTCTCTGTTCTTTACAGGTTACCACACAGGATGCTTTTGCTCAGAACAAAACTTCCACTTCCAGTGAGCTAAATTCCTGCTGGATATAGGAGTACAATGTTCAAAAGCTGAAAGACAAATCACAAATTATCCCGATATATCATATTTTCTATCCCCATCCTCATTTTTAAAATGCTGATCTTTCTCTGCTCAGTCAGGGATGCTTCTGGACATAGGACAGTGACAAGAGTAAGGTCATACCATGTGCAAAATTATCACGAACAATCACCCTTAAAGAGCAATCCAGGGAGGGAATTTCAAGGCCATTTGTTCATGAGTGATTTATAGCAGTGGTGGCGAACCTATGGCACGCGTGCCAGAGGCGGCACTCGGAGCCCTCTCTGTGGGCACATGCACGTCGCCCCAGCCCCGCCTCCTCCCACGGCCCCCTCACGAGCAGGAGAGTTGCCCCCAGGCACGGCCCACACAATGCTGCGCAGCCAAGGACATGGTAGCCGGGAAGTGGGGACAAGACTCTGCCCTTGCACCCCATCGCGTGCAGATGATGCTGCAGGGCATGGGTGGAGGGCGTGGCCACCATGGCGCTGCTGGGCTGCCTGGGTGATCTGTGGTGGGCTGTGGAGGAGGTGGGTGGACCAGCGGGCACGGCGGAGCGGGGACAGGGTGGGAAGGTGGTTTTTGGGCACTCGGTCTCTAAAAGGTTCGCCATCACTGATTTATAGCATTACTCAACTATTGTAATTTATATTATCCTGATGAGATAAAGCCTAGAATTCCTGGTGCTTTTTGAGCTTGGATATTTGCTTGCGCATGACTGATTCTGTTACCTAGTTGAAGTGTCTACAAGAGAACAACTAAGCTCGGAGAGTACCAAGAATTCCACAATTCAACTCTTAGCAATAGATATTCTTTTCTATTGGAGATGAAGTCTCCATCAGGGATCTGTGTCTATGAGAAAATAGCTGAGTGATGCTACACAATGCTAGAAATGACTAGGTCCAAAGTCACTCAATAAATAGTAAGTGTGGAAGACTGATTAATGTTGTGGGGGGGGGGGAGTTGGACAGAATAGGGCATGGTTGACTGGCTGAAACCCTGAAGAAAGACACCCAGTATTAAATATGAAAAAGGCTACCACACTGTCCAAATTTTTCTCTTTTGTACCAATCTTATTGATACTTCTGGTATTAAATAAATTTCTGATGCAGCAAATCTTTGAGTTACACTTTCACTGTTGAGCGAATTTAATTATGAGTTTGATTTATTTAATTGTATACGGTGCAGTATGCAATTAAGTATGTTCTTATGTTGTCTCTCTCATATATAATATCATAATGTGCCATTTTGTATTCAAGTCACTCCACTCTAGAGCAGGGCTTTTCAACCAGGGGTACGGGTACCACCTGTGGTACATTGGCACCTGGCAGGTGGTACGCGACCATCCTAGAAAAGTGGTAGCGGGGGAGGGGAAATGAGCTGAACCGGTGGCAGCACCACAGAAGTCTGAGCGAGAAATGACTGGAGCTACAGGGCTGTCAGGGCTCAGTGGAAGCGCCAGGATCAGCGCCAGGCTCCAGTTGGAGCTCGGCGCTGATCCTGGCGCTTCTGCTGAGCCCAGAAGAAGCGCCGATCAGCTGGAATGTTGCAGCATCTCCAGGGTCTTGTGATTTACATTCAGATGCTTGGCAACTGATTCATATTTATGATGGTCACAGTGTCTCAGGGTCATGTGAAGTGACCAAAACCTGCTGCAACCATCCAGCAGACAGGGGGAATAAAAACCAAACATCCCCCCATCCCACCTCCGCTGCCAATCCCCAACAGAAATGCTCACAACAATGAAAACCTCGAACAGGAGGAAGAGCGCCGCTGGGTGGGCAGGCAGGTGTCTTGCTCGGCTGTGGCTTGGGAGGCACTTTTTTCAGTGCCATTGTAACTTCGAACAGTCATTAAGCGAACTGTTGTAAGTCAAGGACTACCTGCATTTTATCACTTTTTTCCTTTTTCCTTTTTTTTTGGTCATCAAGTTTTTGACCCCTTGCTAGGTGACTGGTGGTACTCGGATATTGCCATATCCTAAAAGTGGTACAATGGGTGAAAAGGTTGAAAAGCCCTGAGAATGGCTTTTGATACAAGAGTGTTAATCCAGCATACCTCTCCTGCTCTCTGTCAGTTTGAAAGACAGGCATAGCCCAACTCTATTTTGTAACTTCCTTCACGTTTACAATTAGGCTGCTGCTGAAGAAAGACAAATGATGTAAGATCCTGCAGGTTGGGGAGCCAGCGTCATCCATTTGGGTTCTTAATCAGCTAGTACTTATGACAAAAATTATCCTTCAAAGCTAGTATAAATGAGTTTTCTGGAGATATGGTTGAAAATATGGATTAATAGTTTTAATCAAATAGATCAACTTCCAATGGTTTTCCTTAGTTTTGTTTTATTGACAAGAAGCCTGGTGATTCTCAGAAGAATAGGAAAATCATTTAATATTGCAAACTGAAGGAAATGTAACAGAAAGATGCTATCATAAAAGCTCAGTAAGACTGGGGTAAAAACAGCAATGAAGACCGAACACTGCTAAAAAGTCTGCTCTATAACCAACTAATAATTTCTGAGAGAGGAATGAAAGATTAAGTCTGTAAATTGTTCAGCATGAGTTCAAATGCTTCTTTCTGTTCAGAAATAGAAGAAGAAAAAGCTTCAAGGGAATGTGGTTAGTCTAAAAAAAGAAAAGGGGTTAAATGATTTAAATGATTCAGTCACTTAAATCATCAAATATCAAGGAAACATCTGCAGCCACGGTTTCCCACAACTGATAAGCAGATGTAAGAATGTACCATGTTCCTAATTAACTAAGAGGGGTGGCTGGGTGGGTGGGGGGCATTAGGGGATAGGGATAGGGTCTCTCCAGTCTGAT